TTTACAAGATCAATTGTGTGACAAAGTAGAAATTTTCTTATTTTCTTGGAATGAAATGGAAACAAAAAATTGATACAAATAAACAGATACAAATATTAACAAAGTCACAACAAAAACTTACTCTAGTAATACAGATTTGATTTTTTTTTTATATATGCCAACACTATTAAAAAATATACAGGGGTGTCACTTTGAAAGTATATTGCCGGTGGAACTTAGGCAATAGGCGGAGGAACTTGTCGCGAAGCGTCATTTGAGGGGATTTAGCCCCGAGCAGTGGTGGGTTTGGTAGGGGTGTCCTTCCATACTGAAGAAAAAAATGAAAAATTATAACCACACTGTAAAATGCCATTTTACAGTGTTTGATAGTTGGATTGTTATGTTAAATATTATTACCAAGGGCAATAAAATGAATATTAGGCCATCACTTTTAAGGAGGTCGTCTAGGCCATCATTGTTAAGGAGCGTGAGCAAATACTGCTCCTCCAAACACCTTTATGCTTTCAGGAGAGCAATTAACTGTGCTCCCTGATTTACCAGGGAAATAAACAAATGACAAATGTTGTAGTAGTATTTTGAAACGTCGTCCATCAAAAAAAAAAAAAAATCACATTTTGCATTAAACTAAAGCTAGCTAGCCTACCGCATTCCGGTGTATAACCTTCAAATTTTCACGCAATTTTAGACCCCAAAATTTCGGGTGCGGCCTAGGCTATACACCGTCATCTCAAAAAAAAATATTCAGATCGCGAACCGCAGGGACAAAAATTGCCTCACTTTTTGGCATTACAAGTGACTGATATTTCAAGTACTGTTTCGTACAGTAAAGTAGGCCCTACGTGTTGTTTTGCTCTATAGCATATCAAATGTAATTATCAATAAAATTGATGCTTTTATATTGACATGTATTTTCGGTCTTGTGTACTTTTTTCTAAAGACAACACATTTTCGTCATCATGATGACCTTTCCTGAGGGCAGAGACCGTGCCTCTGAAACCCAGTCTGCCAATTGGTTAAATTTTTTTTCGGGGATGCAGTGGTGGCGTGCGAACACATGCTTCGATTGGGATGACGTCAGATCGCCCAAACATAGTGGGTGACACAGGAACAAGCTCAGTGTAAGACGACGAAGATTTAATTAAACAGATTTATTTAAACAAATAAAAAAACCCTAATGGTTTTTTTTTAGAGATAAATATAAATAAACCTAACAAATTTAAATTTTCATTTCCTCCATAATCAAAGTTGACGGAAGCATTTGTTGGTTGGTACGGCGCGAGAGCCCCCAATAACCTCAGCCCACCATGGTTGGGGCTGAGGTTAGAAAAATTTGTAACATTTACACATCTAGATGCTCGGAAATAGCACTCCAATTTTTAAAACGCCAGGCTACTGAAAAGAATCACCCATAGAAACATTATTTGAGTTTTTTTTCTGGTGGTAAATTTAACTTTATTCCTTTTGTTTGACATACTGAATGTTATTTTAATCAATTTATTATAATCTCCATGGCATGGCACGACAGTTCGTTTTCATGGCATCTGGTAGACATATGCTTGTTGTTTTGTTTATTTATTTATTTAACTTTCATTATACTGGATGGCACGCTCAATGCAAAGGCACTGGTTTTCGTTGTGGTCCAGTTACATAACATAAAATACAAACATTGAAAAATTGAAAAGAAAAATTTAGGAAATTTAAACAAAGGACTTAATTACAAAAAAGATGACTTAATTACAAAAATAGAGGACTTAATTACAAAATTAGAGGACAGACCAATTAATTCAGAGCATTTTTAAATGTGTATTGGTTAAAATTCTGGAAATCCCTAGTTATATTGCTAGGTAGTTGGTTCCACTTTATGGATGCACGGTAATGAAAAGTTTTTGACATATGTTCCATTGTGGAACTACAAGATGATTATTTGTCTGGCTTCTAGTGTTTTTATCATTTTCAAGGAAAACAAACATATTAATTAGGTAGAAGGGAGCAAGTCCTTGAAGGCATTTAAAAGTTAAAAATAATAATTGGTCTCTCCATCTATTTTTCAGAGTTTGCCAGTTCAACAAAATTAAAATATCATTAATTGGTGTTCTAATATCACATGAAAGTAATATTCTTCCTAAAGGTGTTTAACAGAACTTGTAATCTATTAGATAATTGGATGGAACAGTTTGACCATATACAAGAACAATAATCAAATAAAGGTAAAAAAAATAGTTTTAGCTATTACATCTTAAGAATAAATTGAGGTACAAAATATCTGATATGACGAATGACACCAATCCTTTTAGAAACTTTAGAAGATAAGCTTTCAATGTGTTTGTTCCATGTAAGCTGCGGGTCAAAAGTAACACCCAAGTATTTTAAAAAATCAACTCTGTCAATGGACTCATTATTATAGCTATAGCTCACAGTAGCCTTATTACATTTTGAAATATTCTGTGTTGTTCCAAAAATCATAAATTTAGTCTTTTTAATATTTAGTGTCAGGTGATTTTCATTAACCAATTAACTATTTTGTCAAGATTATGATTTAATTCATTCTGAAGTATTATTGGGTCGGATGAACTACACAGCGGAGTAGTGTCATCGGCGTACATAACAGATTTACATGAAACACTGTTTGGGAGAGAATTCACATAAATTATAAAAAGTAGTTGTCCCAATATGGAACCTTGCGGGATACCAATACAAACATTTTTACAATCAGACTTATCAGAATTAATACAAACAACTTGTGACCGATTTCTTAAATATGAATTAAACCACTCTAAGGCAATATCACTAATACCATATTTTCTGAGTTTATCAATTAAAATTACGTGATTGACTGTGTCAAAGGCCTTTTCAGGTCAAAAGAAAAAGGGCGGCAGTTACATTACCTTTGTCAGTGTTTTTGAGAATATAATCAGTGACATCAAGCAAAGTGGTATGAGTAGAGTGGTTTTTCTTAAACCCAGACTGAGATTCATTTAGGATATTATTTTCAGTAATGTAGCTATATAATTGATTATGAATTGCCCGTTCAAGGATCTTAGATATCATAGGTAACACAAAGATTGGCCTATAATTATTTGGGTCACTCTTATCACCATCTTTAAAAATGGGGGTGGCTTTTGCACATTTCCATTCATCAGGAAATGAAGATGTTGATAATGATAGATTGAAAATATAAGATAGAGAATCACAAATTATAGGTGCAGCAAGTTTGAGTCAGTTTACAATCAATTCCATGAAGACCTTTAGATTCACTGGAAGAAAATTTACAAATTTCATCGAAAACAAACTCTTTTGTGATAAAATCAAATTCAAACTTATCTAAAATGTTATATGATCAATTCGTGAATCATTATTCTCGTATACAGGGAAGTTAGAAGAAAGATTTATTCCAACTGAAGTACAGTGGCTATTGACAATAGCAGTTTCTTTATCATTTGTTGTGTATCCGTCCTTAGTAAAAACTTTGTTGATCTTTTGATTATTTTTAGGAATAAATTTATGTATGGTGTCCCAAAGCTTCTTTAGATTTTTAGCATTATTCTTAATCGAGTCAGTTATTCTTTTTCTTTTAAGATTTCGATTTAGTATAACTTTGTTCCTTAGTGATTTGGCTTTCTCCCAGTCTTTAGGATCATTTGTTTTATGTGCTCTGGAGTAATAGTAATCTCTGTCTTTTGTTAATCTAAAATAATCATTTGTAAAGCACTTAGAAATTGAACCTTTTACTTTTTTAGTTTTTAATGGTGCATTGAGATCACAGACATGATTAAACAGTTGTTTGCACAGAGCCCATGCTTGATTTACATTCAACAAACTCTTTTATCTGATCCCAGTTTGTATCTTTAAGATTGTTTATAAAGGTATGTTTATTGAAATTTCTAAAGGATCTGGATTGAATAACCTTTGGTGGGACCTTGACTCTTTGTTTTTTATGTACAATATAGACAAAAGACAGTGGTCACTTAAGCCTAAACTATGTACACCTGAATTAGATAATATGTCTTGATTTGTCACAAATATAAGATCGATAATAGTTCTAGTTGTATCAGTTAATCGAGTGTAATCATTGATTATTTGAGTTAAATTTGACTTTTTACATAGATCATTAATTTTTTTGGAGTTAGTTTTATTAGTAATATCAAGATTCATATCACCCAAGATAAAAACATCTTTGTACAGAGATGTAGCATGTTGAAAAATATTGCTAAGTTAACTGATCGTCTGGTTTAAGAAGTTGATTTTTGTGTTTGGACCAAATAATACGTTCAGAATAAGGAGAGATTAAGATTTTCGGAATACATGTATTATTTTAAGTAGTATAATAACTATGTTTTAAAAAACGAAATTGCTGAAGAAATATCGTTTTAGCATTATCACTTAGCACGGGAACGAGTTTAGTGTGTCATGTGCAGCCAATGATCAGAATGTTTGCTTCAAAACTGCCCATGCATGTCCATACGCATGCCCAAAACGATTTATGTATCTGTAATTATCCACATGACCTCGACAGTTAGCGAGGTGATATCTCCACTGCTCGAGATAACTTAAGAAGAACCGAGTCCAGCCTAGGCCTAGCCTAGATGGAGATTAAGTTTGTTTACAGACATATATAAAAATTTGCTTTCGCCTTTTTGGCGAACGATGCAAATTTTTCTTCGCCAAACAGTATCTGAATTTGCCATTGGCGAATGGCTAGAGTGAGCGTAGATTTTAATAAAGCAGATTTGTTTTAATATGAAAACAAACTATTTAAATATTTTTTTTTTGAAATTTATTTTGTTTGTGAATTTTTTTTATTAAATAGTAAGTAGATATTGTTTGTATTATCTCAATCATACTTTACTTTGAAAATCAATGCACCAGTAAACAACCCAAGAATATTTTGGCTTTAGCAAAATTTAAAAAAGCCACCCACCCTCCTAATTTTTCCAGACTAGATGTCTCATAAACTAATAATATTTTTTATATGGCCGAATCTTATTATTGTACTACTGTACCTTCATATTTGCTGATGACTGGCTTGTTTGAGTCTCGGCTTCTAAAGTTCCTCTCCTATCTTTACAAAATTGGAACATATGGCTTGTATCTGATTTTTCACTTGCCCCTGTTGAGGTATTGATAGTAACTTGATTTTTTTGGTTAAGTCTAGATGGTTTGGGCGAGTTTGACTCTTCTGATTCTCGACAGTAAACTACTCCACTTTGTGAAACAGTAATACTAGGTGCACAGCCCATGGTCTCACGTTAAAAGGCAGGCTAGGCCTGGCTTCATTACTCCTGTCTGCATGTTTTCTTTAACCAATCCTCTATGTGAACCATGTCTAATCAATTCCGAGTAAAATATCATACGCTCTTAATCTCGTAGGTAAATGAATCTGAAATTAAATAGCAGAAATATCCAAAGGTCAGAACACAAAGAATTTGCATTAATTGTAGTTTATTCATATTTTTATAAGTAGCATGCCAAGAGAAAAAAAGCAGTTGGTGATATTATCTAATTGTACATGGCGATGTGAAAACAGAGGGGGTGGGGTTAGCCCTGCAGCAATCTACTAGAAATGCATAGTTTAACTCCAGGTACCAAGTACAGCAACCTTGTTGTTAATGATTCAGACTGAGTTAACAATGCATTATTTTACTTGCACACACTGAGCCTAATCAATTCATATTCCAAACAGCAAAAACCTAATAAATATTTTTAAAATCACTAACAATTTTCTGAAAGAAAAATATGATCTAAATAATTGTATTGATACGTATATTTTACAATAACGAAAAATTGTTGTCAATATCATCGAAAAATATGTTATCACTCGACAAGTTTATGTTCCAAATTTCAAAACAATGATTGATATATTTTGTTTATACAACACAAGTCTGAATATATTTCTAGTATTTCAAGAAAAAAACTAAATAAAATTTCAATTCTAAAAAATCATAAAAAACTTGATTTAATTTTTTCGTATATCTGTTCCATAGTAGAAAATATAGGTTGCCAACCCATCGTTTAAGCCTTGACCTCTTTCTTAAAGATCAGTTACATACATTGACCTTTAAACTAAATTCAATACCTAACCACCCTCAACCCTATTCTAATTTAACCCTGAACTGGATTCAGGCAATCAGTATATTAAAGAGCCTGTGGTCATACTGTAATAGGGAAACAGAAGCACTCATTCATTGAATCCAAAAAAAAATAATAAACAATGTTCTTCAAAAAGAAAACCCCCGGCCTAATACACTTTTATTTATAAGATTCAATAAAATATCGCCCAGACTCAGTGTTATTTTTTGCCTATGTAAGATGCTCAGGGCGAAGAAAGTCATTGGTCGAGTTCCTAGTCCACATTTCAAGCGCCCTGAGCATCTTACATTAGATTAACATGTGCGCTATATAAAACTACACTATCATTATTATTATTATTATTATTAATATGGTAGCTAAACGAACTTACATGTAAATTTTTTTTTTTATTTGTTTATTCCCCGACAAAAACTCGTCTCAAAGGATGTACTGGGTTCTTTATAGTTTCCTTAAACTATTTGTGTTAACTTTTCATCACAATAATAATAATAATAATAATAATAATAATAATAATAATAATAATAATAATAATAATAATAATAATAATTTCAATGAGACTAATGAGACTAAAAATAAGTTGCGTTCTGTTATAACAAATGCTCCTTTGGATAGCCTCATGATGCTTGGAATACATCGTGATAGATGAAGCAACTTCGACCTTGACAGTGTGGTTGACAGATTTCATGAAAAATTTACAAAATATAGAATTTCACTTGCAAGAATGAGGATTTGAAAATATATTTAGATGGTTTCATTGCATACTCTTTGTTTCTTGTTTTATTCAAAATGTTTTGGTTTTGAAAGCTGATTCCGACATTAGAAAACATATGAAGTCATGTTATAGTAACTCTATGCCTATCAAATAAGTAATAAAAATTCGCCATAATTTGTGAAGTATCTGTGGCTTCCAGGGGGCCTCGCCCCCAGTGACAGACTGTTTTGTTGATAAGAAGAACACATATTTTTTTCAATAAAGCCAAATAAAAAAAATTCTTAGTTTCTCTAGCACATCTACTTTATCTGCCTCACCAATTTTTTTTTTTTTTTAATGCTATGTGCTACTGTTGGTGGCAGACTGATAAGATAGCCACTGATTGGTTTGTGTGTGCCTCATTGGGTTGTATTTTCCATTAAATATATAAATTAAATAGATTTTTATTTCAATTTCATAAGCCATTCATCATAGAAATAATAAGCCTACAGTAATACAAAGAATTACCAAGGCTTGGGCTTAAGCTAGCCTAGGTCTCCTTCCTTCCTACCATCTGACATGGCAACATAGTAATAAATTGTGCTTGCTGCACGACCTGGTATAAATCAATTTTGATAAGAAGTAAACAAAAGAAAAGCTACCGGTTACGTAGGCCAAGGTTAATGGAAGTATACCACCAAAAATCGCATATGAATTGAACAACTGTAGTATATAGATAAGAAATCCACGAGAGAAATCTAAAAGCATAATATATAGTGCTAGGCCTAGGCCGCAGTTGACAACAAACGGGTGTGCCTCGATGAACAGGACTCATCATTGAATCTCTATCGTTCTCTGCATGGAGACTGCGATGTCCACATCGAGTGAGGTACTTTGATTTAGCCTATTCTTCAATATAAAATACGGACACGTCCTCAATACAGATCGTATAAAATTGTGAATTAAATTCAATTTCAATGTGAGCAATTGTAAAACTTACTTTGCTGTGAAATTAATGTTCAAAAGTTATCATCATTGATACCCAATGCCTAGCTCCTGTTTAGTTAGCATCACCACCAAGTCTATTTCCCAAATCCCAGAGGCTTATTGCTGAATATGTGTGGACTCACTTAGCAGCAATACGCAACATGTAGCCAATCAGCGTGGGAATAATGCCTCATGTGATAAGACTGACATACAACTTGCAGTGTTCTCGCGCATCAAATTTCTTTCATCATCATGGTAACATCTGAGAAACAGAATGGTATACGTTTTAAGATTGAGATTCGAAATCATTTATGCTATTATTTAGAAGATTTGCCCACAGTATTATTATGATTACGATAAATGATTAGGGTTATGATAATGTTTGTGATGATTATTTTCTTTTATTGTGATTATGGTTATGATGAGATTGTGATTATAGATCATGATGATACGATTATATTACGATTATTACCAACTCGGCAAAAACAACATAATTAAATTTAAAACAAGAAGACATACCGGTACAGTATATACAGTAAATAACCTATCATGTGGAAATTTGTTGATACATACCGTACTCGCGCAAATAACTTAAAATATTTTCGCGCTTTTTGAGGGGCGCTTATTCAAAGAGGGCGCGTATTCAAGTGGGGAATGGGGCGCTTATGAAAACAGAGTGGAAATTGAGGTGGGGGGGTGGGGTGCGTTTATGGAAATATATGGGTTTAGGGAAATATATGGGTTATAAGAGCAGATGAAATTAGTGGTGGTGGTGGTGGTAAGTTTGTTGGCAATCTACCGATTGAGATTGCAGGATTATTGCAGCGATTATTCGCGCGAGTACAGTATCCTCTTTTGCATACGTTATGAATAAATATATGCCTATGTTTTCTACTTGAATTGTTATTAATCAGTAGTGGCGCCGCTGATATTAAAATAGTTATAACTTGCACGAAATTTCCTTTATTTTATTTTCTATATGAGAGTCAATGGGAAGTGCAAAAAAGGAAAATCAGAAGAATAAAAAGAACACTGGTAGCAATACAGTATAATTGTAGTGTAGGTTGTTCAGTAAGCCTGTGTATTGATGAATACAAGTGGTGGTTTGTCATACCACAAAAGAGAAAAAAAAAACCTCGGAACACAAGGCACAAAATAATGACCACTGACCAGTCTGCGGCTTGAATAGAAAAACTTAAATATCGCTCATTAACAACTAAACTGATTCTAAGTAAAAAGAACAGCTGCTTATAAATAAGTATCCATTCAATTCAATTCTTTATTATCGAACTTGGGGAAATTTCAAAACAAAACAGACTGCAATCAAACAATGAACATTATTGAGACAAACCACCTCAAGGTTGTTAGACTGTCTGAATTGTGATTGGTGTCAGTGTGTCAGAAGTCTGTCTTAAACTTGGATTTAAAGTAAGCCCTCTCTAAAATCAAGCTCAGATGTGGTTTGAGTTTTGTGCAGGAATACTGATAGACTCCTGGCAAACACAGTAAAACCCATATTATAAGGGTTCGAACACATTTGTCCCCTGAATAGGGGCGTCCTAAAGGTGGATCTTTACTTTAGCTGTATTATTTTTTTGTAGATTCAATGGATTTTCCATCCTTTTTCTTCTATGTGATTAATTAATTACTGTATTAATTAATTAATTTATTTATTTATTTATCTATCCATCCATCCATCCATCCATCCATCCATCCATCCATCCATCCATCCATCCATCCATCCATCCATCCATCCATCCATCCATCCATCCATCCATCCATCCATCCATCCATCCATCCATCCATCCATCCATCCATCCATCCATCCATCCATCCATCCATCCATCCATCCATCCATCCATCCATCCATCCATCCATCCATCCATCCATCCATCTATCTATCTATCTATCTATCTATCTATCTATCTATCTATCTATCTATCTATCTATCTATCTATCTATCTATCTATCTATTTATTTATTTATTTATTTATTTATTAACTTGGCGTCATCGCCCGGGAATTGATGAACAGGTTTTTAAAACACAATATGCAACGTCAGCAGTGGCGTCATAACGACGAGTCACGGGACCCGGGTGAGCAAGTGTTGGGGCCGCATTCATTTTAGTAATCGATTACGAGGGTCACGAAAGTCGCAGAAGGGTCCCTTTATGAATGCGGACACATTCTAAAGCTTTACAAAGGTGGGATGACCTCCTAAAGCATTCTTGCTTACCATTGCGGGAGTACCGGTACCGGATGCCGTGCCGATTTCCGGCAGACTCCGGTGACTTTGAGGAGACCCGGGGACCGCTGGAGTTGGGAGGGATCGATGATTAAGTAAGGGGGAGCTAACTCTAAAATAGGTAATACTGTATAAGGTTACTTTTGTCCGGGCATCCCCATGATACGCCACTGGTAACAATTTACAGTAATTGAACAAGTTATGAGAAATCGCTATCGTTGATGGCAGTATGTTCTATCTACTTTGTCTGAAAACATGTTTAGAGCTCTGGCATACAGAGAACCCCTATATGAGGACACTTTTGGGGATCAAAAAATTGTCCCCTTAATAGGGTGTCCCCTGAATAATGGTATGTACCTCTTAAGGGGACACTAACCAAAGATGCGAAATTGTTCTCTTAATAATTCGGGTTTTGGCACATTCATACAATCAGGACACGGTTCTTTATAATTTTATTTCAGTTGACCAAGAACGAGTTACAATATAAATTTTAAAAATTGTAACAATAATTTGCAATGCAAATACAATACATTTATGAGGAAATCAAAATGAATGTAATTAAAACAATAAAATCTGTATATTGTTCTAATCCAATGCTATGGCAGATACAGCATCATGGAACTTCATTTATATTACGGTATTATGACCCGTACGTATATACTAGTGTTTAATATTATCAACATACATAGGATTACTGTTTTTTCTAATTTCAAAATATTATAGTTAGTCAATTGAATTTTATATAGCCATTATTAAACAATAATTATACAGCCTTTGACACGGACATGTCTATCTATTTCGATTTAGTGATATCAGAAGTTCACAAACTCCAGTTACGTTGACGCAATCCCGCAATGACGTCATAATAATCTGCGGCGGATTCAAGTGTTGCCGAGCCAAACCTAAATTTTTCAAAATTATTTTTTTAATTGGAAAAAACAAAAAAATTAAAGGATAATTAGAATTTAGGTCTGAGAGTGAAATTTCCGGCAACCTAGAGGTGTCACAATCATAAATTTTCTTTCCTCAGCCACAACCATGGTGGGGCTGAGGTGATATACGGTACTTTCCCAAATTGTGCAAGTCCCTCCCTGTCCCTGTCCCCCTCTATTTTGCTTTCCTGGAGCCGCCAATGATAATGATAAATTAAGTAAATCACCTTTATGTTTGTGAAATCAAAATGCTAACTAATGTTTTGTGTGCTCACTATCTCCCTAGTCCTGTTTGATCGTAAATTAGACTGTAAAATTATTCGACTCACAATAGTGTAGTCGTAATATTACTTACACAAAAGCGAAATTCAAAAAGGGGAGAAAAGCAAAAACCTCTTGATTGATTTTAAAAGTACTGTACATGCGAAAAGACTAAATTAATGATTGTCTTAAGTTTATCTTATTTGTTTTTCATGGTTCGAATTTTGAATACGTCACGGGCTAAAATTAGTAGATAATAAATCATTATTTTTATGAATGTTAGCTTGCACGAAATATATAAGCGGACATAATTATGACTAAAAGGATAATTTAAAAAACTTTTTATGATGAGTATTTCAGTGGCAGATTCAAGGGGTCCAGCCGCCCCACCATCCATATTTTTTTTTCGAAGTGGAGAAAAATGAAAATTATATTCAAATTCAGTGCCATTTCTGACCAACCAGAGGTGCATAACCATGGTGGGGCTGAGGTGGTCTACGCTCTCCATCTGTAAAAGTCCCTCTCTGGGCCCGGCTCTATTTCAAATTACAGGATCCGCCACTGGATATTTTGAAAATTTCGTATGGAAATAGGCCTAAATGTTAATTGCATTGCTTAAAATCAATTAAAAGGCTATAGGCGCCAGAGCTTCCGGGGGCTTCGCCCCTGGTTCCCAACCAAAGCTTGGGCTGGGCCCAAGGCTTTATTTTTCATTTCGTCCCCCCTCCCCCCAACTTTCAACCACGGATCGACGCCCTTGGTCTAGAGTCATTATGAATATGATATAGGCCTATCATGTTAAAATATACTTTTTTTTAATGTTCCATTAATATAATAATTACATCTCGATACACCAGGCTTTATTTGTATCGCGATTTAGTCAGCAAACTGTCCCAGTATAAGCAGAGAGATGTAAAAATACATCTCCCTGGAGATGTAATAATACACCTCTCTGGTGTATGGATTCATGGATTTGACATTTATTTTAAAAGACGCAAAAACGTACCAATTTGAAGTGAATAAATTTATGTTTTAGCTATTGCTTTGCATCTCTTTACATGTTTCTGATGCAACTTCTAAAAGAAAAGAAAAAAAAAAACATTTAAATTATAAGCTCTTCAACGCCACCAGCAGGAGTTTGAAATGAGGCTCTCCAAATGCCATGCCCTACAGGGGAGATCCATCCTGGTACGAAGTCTGGACAATATACAGAGTGAAATCTTCTTTTAACCTAGCACCTTAATTACTTTGATTGATTTCTGCTATATAGTAAGGTAATTTTCTGATACAAAAATTGTTTAAAAAAAAATATATATACATATATATAGAAGGGGCATATGATTACGCACCCTCCCCTTCCCCTCTAAATCGCCATCGCTCCGCTCCCCTTCGGGGGTTTGGACATCCCTGCCATCTGTCCGACTTGGACCACAAGCACCAGCAAGCACAGTTTTACCCACATTTCTCGAGTGATCACCGTATAACAATGTTCAGGTTATGGACGTCCCCCATCTATTTTTTTCCTGTACAGTAATTTTGACCTTGACCATTGTAACGCATATAAAACGCGTTTAACATGAATTTATCGGAGAGACGCAGTCACGCACTACACTGCTGCTGCATGCAAAGATCGATGCACCACGAGAGAGCTACAACAATGGCTGAATTCTCCGGTGATGTGCAGCAGGTAGATGTTATGTTCCGTGTGGATTCGCAGCAAATACCGGTAATTTTCATAATATGTTCTGTATAGAAATGTTCTCTGCTTTAGAGCAGGCATAGCCCTACCGTATTTGTGTGTAATCGTTCCGTGTATGTGCGATTCTTTTAAATTGTTAGTATTTATGAAGCCTAGTGTAGGTAGGTCTGGCCTAGGATAGGG